TTCCTTTCCGTGCGAACGGTGCTTGCCGTTCGGCAAGCTAAGTGGCCTAGGTGTTTGGTGGGTGTCTTGAGTAAATCGGAGCTGGGAGTGTGGGTGCAGAGGCCTAAGGGGCTAGCCACCTGAGTTGATTACCGTGAGTTTGAGCAAGAGCTGGGCTGTTGGGCAGATTTGGCTAGCGGGTGCCTTGAGCAGTTTTGGAGGTGAGGGTTTTCTTCATTTTTGGCCTCCATTTTGTTGCTACATAACCCTTGCCGTTCGGCAAGGGTGCTTGGAAATGTTTTTGTTTTGAATGGTTGTAGTTGTTGTGTAGCTAGCTTCCTTGTAGCCGGGCATCAAGGAGAGGCCGGGTCAGATATCCAGCGAGTGGTGTGGCGTCTCAGTTGAGCTGGAGCTACGGTAGGTAGGCATTTGAGCTGGGTGCCTGGCCATTTGGAGCTAGACCTTCGGCAAGGCTGGGCGTCGGGAGCTGGGTCATCCGTAGCTGGGGTCCTTGGCAGAGCTGTTCTGGAACAAATTTGGGGCTGGGACATTGCAGAAGTTAAGCGGAGCTGGGCTTTCCTTGTGACCGGGGTGTCGAGATCAAACTTCTGAGGTAAGTTGCTGCCATTTTGGAGGCCTCTATTTTGTTGCCGCCCATCCCTTGCCGTTTGGCAAGTTGGCTAAGGCTCTATGTTTTGTAGGTGTCGGCAAAGTGGCTGAGGCACGGATCACCTAGAGCTGGGTCTTGAAAGTAAAGACCGGATATTTAGAGGGGCTGGGCCCTTCCTTTGTGAAGCAGAGCTGGGCCTTGCGTGGCTGGGCTTTCCTTGAGAAATTTGGTGAGCCCTCGGATTTTTTTTTTTTTTTTTTTTTTTTTTTTTTTTAAATTTGAAATTGAAAATGCTGTGTAGGTACTCTTGTAACCCTAGGGCCTAGGGTTTGGGAGGGAAGGTGAAAGGGTGCTAGGGTTTCTCTTGTCACCCTAGGGCCTTATAAATAGGAACCTGGAGTGACGTAGGCATCATACTTGGAGATTTTGTGAGAAAGATTGTCAGAAAGTGAGAAGGAGAAAAAGATTTCTGGTGAGATTTTGGTGGTGGTGCAAACAAGGTTAGACCTCATTTCCCTTGAATTCTTGAAATGAAATTCAACTTTTTGTATGAACATGTTGAAGAGTATGATGAACACCTTGAGCATGAGTATGAACATGTTGAATGTATGCATCTAGATCAAAAAGCATGTAGAGGCTGTCCAATTTTGTGTTTTTGTGCTTAGATCCTCTTTGCATGTGCATTAGTTCCTTTTTCTTGTTTCTGCATGTTGTAGATGTCTGAGAGTGAAGAGGCCAGTGAGTATGTTTGTTCTGAAGAGGAGAGTTCCCAGACAGATAGTTTTGTAGAAGGGCTTATAGAAGCTAGGATGGGAGTTCATAAGGGTGAGATGGCTGGGCCATCAATAGAGTCTGGGTCAGAGGCATATAGGAAGATGCAGAAGAAGTATAAAGTGTTAGAAGCCAGTGTTGATCGGGTTCTAGCCTTGGCACATACACCGGAGGTGGGCTCGAGCAATCAGACATCACCATCAGAGTCTGTGGGTATAGCCATGGTTTCAGCTTCAGAGGGGGTGGACATCCGGGTTGGTGTCCCATTGGGAAATCGGAATACACTCACAGAAGCCAAGTTGGTTGAGCTTCGGACAGATTATAGTGTGCCATCCTATGTGGGCCTGAGGTTACCTAGTGCTGCGGATGTAGTGAGATATCCTCCGGAGGGTTCAGTGATGATATTCACCGATATGTACCAGCATGGTCTCAGACTACCGTTTCATCCTTGGGTACAGATGATGCTGGCCAAGTTGGGGTATGCGCCGGGGCAATACAATCCCAACTTTTGGCTACTTCTGCATGGAGTTTACATTGCTTGGTGGTTGGTTGGGTTGGGGGAGCCAACATTTGAGCAGTTTATGTACTTGTATTCGATCTCCAAGCAACAGGGGACCTTTGGCTGGGTACAAGCCAATTGCCGGAAGGCAAAGGAGAGAGGTTACTTTATTGGGCATAAGCCGAGTACGCAGAAGTCTTGGCGGAAC